GTAAAACATGGAGAAGAAAGAAGCTAAAGAAGTAGCAACATTTTCAGAGGAGCTAAATATGAGAGTTGCAGAGTGAGTTCCCAAAGGCCAGGCGGGCTCTGGCTATGTGGGAAAACAAATCAAAGCCTGGTGCCATCTCTAATGGGAAACAGAGAGGCAACCTCAGCACAGCCTCAAAGAAACACACAGGCACATTCTCCAAAACTCAACAGGGCATTTAACAACAAACAAAAACACAGAGCTGGGGCTCCACTCAAAAACCACACTGGCAGAGAAAGATGAGAAAAGTTCTCTTCAATGGGTTGGAAATTCCTTCTTGTGCTCCTTGCCAGTAATGCTCATACCCAGCATGGCATCTGAGCACAGTTATTGCTGATTTCCCTCTGAGTTTAGAAATTCTGGACACTGCACTGCCATGCTGTGGCCCAGAGCAGGCTCTCACCTTTGCTGGTGGTGTGAAGATAAAATAATCAGCTAAAGAAACCAGACTGTGTTCCCTTGAACACTTCAAAAAGAGTCATGGCCAGCTAATGAAAACATTTTTTTGCAGCTTTACAAAGTACTTGTACAGTTATTAGGAGCAGCAATAAAAAGCCAAAGCTCAATGGAGCCACAGATTTCAGCATTCTCTTTTATTTTGAGCTACTATTCCTGACACAAGCACTGCAGAAGGTCAGAGCCTTATATTTTTCCTAAAGTCTTTACTAGAAAGTGTGAAAATAGGTCTTAGGGGACCAGAATATTAGACAAGATTTGGCAAAAGAATAAAGAAAGAAATGCAGCATCCTTAGGGACTGGATTTAAAGCTCCACATTTCCCTGTAAAACACATTCCTTGCCTGAGTCAAGCAAATATTTCCATGCAGGAGCCACATTCCTGATTTCTCTGTGTAAATTCTGTATCCTGTGAACATGGAGAGCCCCAAGAGCTGCCCCAGTGATGCATTTCAAATTAAGAAACCATCACTGGGAGAAAATCTTCATTAGGAGATACTGACAGATTTAATATAAACTCACTCATAAGTGTTTGGAGAAAAAGATTTTAAAAAAATTAAAATTGCAAAAGGTTTTTGCTAATTAACTCCACAGCCACGGACACCATCCCTGCTCAATTCCAGAGCAGATCACACAAACACCACACCTCAGAAATACTGAGGTGACATCCTTGAGCAGGGAAATGTCACTCCTGAATTCTGTCACTCATGGTTTTCACCAGATTCTGGCAGACAAGTGTAAATACATAAAAAATAAAACCCCCAAAAAACTAAATCGTGCAAAAAGTAAGAAAAATCCACTCCCACAAGCCTTCTTGCTTAAATTTGGCTTGTGCTGGAGGCAAAGGCCCAAAATTTTTTTTTTGCTCTACCTAAACCAAATCCCAAAAATATGTTTTCACCCCCACTAGTAGAAAATAGCTTTTACATACAACTCTACATTACTGATTAGAAGGAAACTACATTTTGTTTGAAAGAGAAAAAAAAACGACTGTATACAAAGCAAAAGCAGTGAAGACCAAAGGAAATAGAGACATTTCCCAAAGAACTGATTTCAGGTGCATGAAGCAGAATGATAAAAATAATAATAACATGATTATAAAAATGATAATAAAATGATGATAAAATGATAAAAAATGAAGATAAAAATGCCAAGTGTTGCTCAAAGATCCATGAGGACTTCCCAGAGTCAGTGATTGAGTGCATCACACACAAGGGGAGCTGAAGAGCCTCAGAGGTAATTTATAACCCCACAGTTTAACCATTTCTGTTCTGCTCCTGCCCTTACCTGGCTCTGGGACACCTTGAATTTAAGGGAATAAC